TATAGTACCCCTCCCTTGTCATGAATATTTTAATGGTGCGTTCTTTCCGCTAATTATTATGTACGTAAAAAAATAGATTGTAAGATACACCGCGACGTATAGTAGTCAATTTATTTTTTTTTTTTATTATTAAAAAAAAACCCCATGCGTTACACAAGCGTGACGGACTGAATCCACACGTGATCTCTATTTTCATCAGGGATCGTAAACATAGAATGTCCTTCGCTTTGCTTCGGACAATTAATATTGCATTGTTTACCAACCGTTTACAAAATAAAGAATTTTTTTTTAACTATTGTTCATTATCCGCATACCAATTAAGGCAGGTGACGATCGCTGTCAACCAAATAAGTAATGCATTATTAAAGATGTTTAAGTTACACTCAATTTGCGTATAAATTCGACGCGAGCGTGTCTCATCACACTTCCTCTAAGAAAAATGCTTCAAGATTTATTAATCTTTAGCACACTCGTAAAGCTATTGCTCATTCCTGCATAGTAATTAATTTAATTTAATTTTTTTTACTGAATTTTACTTGTGAATACTTATTGTTATTCTACGGATGCATCTATTTTAAGTCGTTCAACCGATTTCGAGGTGCATAGAAATTGGCTCGCAATAACACACAGTTTGCCCGTGTCCAAATGGTATTACGAGGTGAACTTCGAAACCCCTACCTTCTTTATTATCAATTCCCACATTAATTCTAGAACAAATAACCTAATATGCTTCTTAGGACAAAAGCGAATGGACATTAGATTATCCGCCATTCTTCGCTTGGTTTGAGTGGATTTTGTCTCAATTTGCGCCGTTCGCGGACAAAGATATGCTCGTTGTAGATAACCTCGGTTATGCAAGTGATGCTACAATTTATTTCCAGCGTATAACTGTCATTATGAGTGAACTGGTTTTACTCTATGCGCTTAAAAAGTAACCAACTTTCGTTGACTTTAGAGCATTTTGATTTTTTTACTCGTTAAATGTTTACTCGATTATTATGCTCATCAGGTTCTTGATGCTTTCTGAAAACAAAGCCATGAGATATGTTATTGCATCATCGATATTTCTGAATCCCGGTCTTTTAATAGTTGATCATATCCTTTTGATTTTCACGAGCTTTGATTTTTCCCACACAACTTTGAAATGTTTTATTATTTTAATTGATCACAGGGATGATAATAATCTATGATTATCATAAACCTCATTTACTCCTTGACATCTACAAACACATTCATTTTCAATATAATGGATTTCTTTTCGGCATACTATTGCTTTCAATAGCGTATGCCAAAGAGGTAATTATGATCCTCTCACCATCGATCTGAATCATTAATATTTTAAGTATCTTTTTATTTATAGATCTTTATTGTGATTTTTGGAATACAAGGGAAATGATCTTTTATGCGGTGTCATGTTCGCCATCTTGTTGAATTTCAAGCATATATTCCTTTATCTCGCCCCCGCTTATTTTGTGTATTTATTGAGACATTATTGTTTTCAAAAGGCTGTAGGGACGGGTAAGTAAGATTACACTTGATTTCTACGCTAACCGTCACGTAATTTCCTCGAAATCATGAAATCGGCATACGATCTTCTTTTGTGCACTCCTTTATTCAGAGAACACCGCGTTTTCTTTCTCTCGATTTTTTTTCCTTGGAATTGCCGTTGCTTCGATTTTTTCTCTTTCATTTGGACCCTTTATTTATATGGGTCAGCTGAAGCAAGTTCTTTCGCGTCTGTTCCCCTTCAAACGCGGTCTTTGCCACGCTTATTGGGCACCAAATTTTTGGGCTTTATATTCTTTTGTCGATCGCGTTTTAATAATCGGTAGGGGAACTCGTAAAAATTGTCATTATGCGCAAACGAAAATTCACGGATTTTTTTTTTAGCTGCCAAAAGGTTGGGATGGGAGTTAAATGAAGTGGCGATATCTTCCTTTACCCGAGGTCTGGTTGGTGACACCAACTATGCAATCTTACCACAGGTTCAAGCCAACCATACGTTCATGGTCACTTTTGCTTTTCAAGTTGTCAGTATTTTCTTCTTGGAACTTTGCAGAATTCATCATTCATTCATTGTGGTGATAGAAATCTATTGCTCACTACTACATTAACTATTATTATTATTCCAATTAGGCATCACTTGTTAAATTGTGGAGAAATCCCGATTTTAAAAATTTCATTGGATCGTTACTAATGTGCGGCTATTCATCATTCCTTTTTGGATGGCACGTGCACGAAAAGGCCATATTGTTAATCATGATTCCTTTTGGGTATTTATTACCTTCGATATTGAAGTAATCTTTATATGTTATCTGCACCTCCTAACTTTACAGTTGTAGATTAATTGCGACCGAGAGTATGGAACATTTGCGTACCTTTATAATTTTATCTGTGTCTGGATTGTTTTCTTTATTTCCTCTTCTGTTTCGAGCAACAGGTTAATTTTTTCATTATTTGAAGTAATGATTTGTTTTATTTCAAATAAATAACTAATCAACGTAACGATCAAAGAATCCACTATTAAGATGACTATATGCGCATTGTGGATAGTTCTAACTTGTTTGGGCCTGTCTCTTAGCACTCCAAGGTAAATGAAATATGTTTTCCACTTAATATATAATATAATGTTTTAAATTTCTAACCTGTGTGTGTATTTTTTAGTAAACCTGAAATCCCTAAAACCACATTCACCATACTTATCTATTTGATAGAAAACATATACATTGGCGGGTTCATAATTTTGCAATTTTTTTGTGGGATAGTACATCAGATAGTTTTTAAAAATGGAGAATATCAATTCTTACCGTTATTAGCTACATCCGTGTATTGTGCAATCGGGGTTATATATTCATGGGTTAGATTTACCTTGATATATTTTCTAGGCGCAAATTAGAAGTGACAATTGTCTTGCCGATTGCCTCTGTAACACTCAGATGAAAATATTATTTATTAACATTGACTAGCTACGTCCGTAGTTAATAATAGAGAAATGTAAAAATATCTTTTTTTTTACGAAATCAAGAAAAGAAGCAATTGAACTAGGCTAAACAGGTTTAAGCATGTTTGATTTTGTTATTATTATTATTATATATTTTTATTATGAAAATTAATTATAACCAGATTTAAACAAATTTAATTTTGTTATTAAAAAAGTAAAAGAATTTAGTTAGTAATTAATTACATATAAAATTTATTATAAAATTAAGTTTTTTCTTAATTGATTGAATAAAAATTTAAAGTTTAATTATAAAAAAGATTTAAATAAAAATTTATAAAAGTTGTATTGAGACAAATATTGAATTTAATAACTTTACTGTATAATTAAAAATAAAAATAAAAAAATAATTGCAATGATTATATAAAGAAAAAAGTATTTAAGAATAAATTATAAAAAAAGATTACTATAGACTTTTCTTTATATACGTTATTAAAAGTTAAAAAAGATCTCAACTTATTAAGTTTTTGATTAGAGATCTCATTTTCATATAATAAATTCCTTAAAGTCTTTATACTTTTAAGTTTAAAACTTTTTTACTTATATAAAATATACTTTTTGAAAAAAAAATTTCAAAAAATTAATAATAAATAAGAGTTTTTTTTTTTTTGTCATTTATATTTTATATTTATTTTATTAATCAAAATATTAAAATTTATTTTATTTTAATAAAAAATTTTTTTATTTATTTTATTTTAATAAAAAAATTTTTTATTTATTATAATTTTAAATATAATTATTTTTAATAATTTTATTAAATAATTAATATATATATATATATATATATATTGTAATAAAATAATTAATTTTATTGTATTATTTATTTTCCATTATTATTATTTTATTATTTTAGTTTTTTTTAATATTATTTTAATATTATTTTATGAATTTATTCTTGAAATTATTATTTATAGAAAGAAATAATATTATAATTTAAGATAGTTGTATGTAACCATGAGATTAACTTATAAATTTTCACCAATTCTTTAAATTTCTATAGTTTTTATATGGTAAACAATTTTCAAAATAAAATATTTCTTTATTTTATTAAAAATATAATCAAGGTTGATTTATTAAATTATAAGTAAAATGATTAGAAAAATATATTTTATTAAAAATATATTTTATTAAAAATATAATCAAGATTGTTTTATTGAATTATAAATAAAATGACTAGAAGAATATATTTTATTAAAGTTACTAAAACTAGTTATTTAATATAATATTGAATAATTTAGAAATTTTATTCTAAACAAAATTATTATTTATTATTAATAAATAAAAAAAAAGATAGTTGTACAACTAAAAACAATATATAAAAACAACTATTTTGTTTTTTTAAAAAATAATATTAATATAGATTTTTTGTAATTATAATTATTATATTATCTGATTTTTATTTGTTTTCTAAATCTTTTTTTAATAAAATTATTTTTTATCTTTATTAAATAATTACATTTTTTTTCTAAAGAATTGTTTTTTTTTTTTAAGGCTAAGTACAATATACAGTAGAATCTCCATAAATTAATACTTCATAAATTAATAATCTCATTAAATTTATAAAATTCTCTAGTTCCATTTTCAAAATTATTATATAATTTGTCTCCATATTTTAATAATCTTCTTAATTTTATAAAATTTAGAAAAATACCATAGTCCCAAAATTATTAATTTATAGTGGTTCAACTATATGCACTGTTTTTATTAATTAATAAAAATCAAACTATCCAATTACATAAATAGTCTATTAACTAATACTAATTAATCAATACTATCTGTCTTATTTTATTAGAATATTAACTTATATATTATAAATATATTTATATTCTAATTTATAATTATATATAACCTTAATTTTTAACATATTAATTTTTACTAGATTCCTTATCACATTCATATCTGTAGTTTATATAGCCACAGGACCTATAATCTTACTTCTTTACACTTTTTAGTAAATGCTTCAAGAATTGTTTTTATAGTTGATACATATTATTAAATCTGGAGATTAGATAATCAAGTAGAGTATAACTCTTAAATTTTCCAATAGATACTTTATAAACTTTTAATTAATTTAAGCTATCAAATCTAAAGATACATATATTAAGCAAAGTACAACTTTTGTAAAGTTACTTGATATTATTTATGTATTTATATTTTTACAATAATTCATTTTAAAGTATTTTAGTTCAGTTAACATACTTCTTAGTATAGAGTTTGTTATATTAAAAAAGAATGTAAACTTATAATGAGAGTTAGACTAAAAGTCTTTTCTTGTACAATCTTTTTTGTTTTGATCTGTTTTTAGCTTACAATTATTGGAAAAACCAGAGGTTTCATTTTTTTGCAACCTAACAGAATTTAGAATTAATTTTCAATTAATTGAATATAACATATATTGGAAATCAATTAATTAATTATAAAAATAGTAAATTTTTATAACCAGATATATTTAAACTCTAAATCTTCTTTTAATAACCTATAGAGCATTACTACCATGTTATAAATCCATAGATCTTTTTCTAAAGAATTTTTTCTTATTCTAAATAATATACTTTAAATCAAAATAAGTTATATTGTTAATATGAAAAATTAACAGTATATATAATATCTATTATTTAATATATTTTATTGCATTATAAAATCTAAAAATTATAATTAATTTATTTTTATCAATTAATTATTATTTCAAATTCAATTAATTAAAATTTTTAATTAATTAAAACATATTGGTTATATTTTTTAAAAATTAATATAAACAATATTAAAAAATAATAATTTATAAATATATAATATATAAAAAACTCTTTTCTGATCATGTTTACTTTGCTAAAAATTTTTCTTTTATGATAATTTTTGTTAAGAAAAAATGTTTTATACTCTTTATCGCAAGTAAGCCCCAGCTCAAGAACTTAAGAACTTTCAAGACAATTGGTACAGTGAAATGGAACCTCTGGTTAAAGTCTACTCAAGTTTGGAAGTCTTGCTTATCCTTCGGTTGCATGAGGAAAGACCCATGGCAGTTCTCTTTTCTTTTGTTCCCTTGCACCCCTCCT